TCGTGCACAATTTTGAACTTTGAAAGTATTCAAGCAAATGAAGAAATAAAGAACTTTGCTGCGTAGTTTTTACAAAAACGGATATCGGTGGGGGATAAAAAGATTCATTGTTAATTTATGGTACAACTTTTCAATTAGCTTCAAGTTTTCTAGAATCAAAAAATCCATTCCGTGTCATGTGTAATTCAGCAGTAAGTGGGAAGCTTTTATAAACTGATTATGTATAAGCTTTTCAAAAATAAACTGTTTAAATGAGTAAATTTCCCTAGATAGACCTTTACCTAGTCAGAAAACGATAGGGATAACTTCGCTTTTGTTTTGTCTGTTAATCTGTGGGTTATGCTGCTGTAACTCATCATTGAGAAAATTGAGTGAAATTTTTTATTTTTTCTTGTGAAGTGAACCAAAAACCAAATCCTTTTAAAAAAACGCAACTATGATGGGATAATTTGGAATGAAAGTGGTTCATTTACTTAAAAAACGGCATTTAAATTACTTTTATTTGGATTTTCTTTTATCCTCAGAGCAATTGTCCTAGACGTTGTATAACAATATGTTAAGAAAACATTTTCTGCTCAAATTTTAACGTAATTTTAATTTTCCGAATTGAATTATTAGGACATTTCAGATATCCCACTTTGATGTCTATCAAGTAACAATATCCCAATTTTTGGTACTTAGTAAATCTCATAATTTTTAGATACCGTTGCTGAACAAAATGAGAAATGAGAAAGAGAAGTGTGGGGACTTTGGCAAAGAATACATGCAAGCTGATGAAGCACGACAAAAAAAAAGATGCGCTAAAGTAATAAATCTAGTCCTGATTGTAGACATTTCTCTAACAATCAGCAAGAAAGGAGATGTCAAGTTGCCAAGAGGTGCTACCTCAAAATCAAGCAATCAAAATTTACTTCTCTTACGAAAAAAATTTCAGTGTTACTAGTCTCTCCAACAATAATGGAGAAAAAAAGAAGGAGTGAAACAACGCAAACCAAGCAATACTGTAGTGGATTTGAAAAAGATTGTGGGGAAAGGAAAAGAAAAAGAGAAACTAAAAGACGAGTTGAGAGCTTGTCAACATTTCCTGGTGGGTAAGGATATAAAGAATGGAAGTGTAGGGTACCAATGTAAGGTACCAAAGCTATCAATAAGAAGCTCAAAGAAGCTTTCAACAAGCTAGATTCAGCTGCAATACCGTGAAGATCGATACTGCTATGCGCACGAAAATGTCACTTTGTTTGAGAAATCGCATTTACTGCCTACTAAAGCCAAATTGATAGCCATCCAAAGAAAAGTAAAAAAAATTGATTTCGTTAAGCAATGCACTCAAGATCATCAGAACACGAAATGGAGAACCAAGTTGATAACAAATGTGATTGTTTTTGCCGGATTACCAAAAAGCATCCCAGTTGGAAGCCCTGATTCTTTCCTACCCGAACCTTTATTTCGACATATACAAGTGAATTTTATTCTATCGGATGAAAACATGCGACCAAACAAAGATCATCCGTGTCTTTTTAGTGCACCAAAAAAGGCAACGACACGGTCATGGCAACCTAGATGTTCAGACATCCCAATTATTTACATAGTTTATATCAAAAATTTATCATAAAAAGTTTCAGGGGTAGCCCTTGATGATTTAAATCTTGTAGAGGAGTTAGTTGAAGGCAACGTTTTCATTCACGATGTTGACATTCAAGAAGGAGAATATGTTGGAGATCTAGCTGGGCGACAAATTGAAAAGTTCGATATTACAGTTAATTTGCTAAGATTCAAGAATCATATTGTTTATACAAACGATATTGATCTTTTTTTCAAGTGCCTCCAATGTGCCAGCTGTGACTGCTTCATCGAAAGATCAGAAAACTTCAACAGTCATCTTCTAACTTGTAAAGATCGAGATGACATACTTATTCGAAAAAGGCGTACACACTACGGAAAAAAATATTTGAAAACTGAACGAATTCAAATTAAATTTCACCATTCAAATTGAACCAACAGTTGTGATTGATTTTATATGTTTGAATTTTGCAGATATACAGTTCATCGATATGATATAATGAAAATTATGGGAGGAGCAACAACTTTGGATTCATTTCTAAAAGCCTATAAGGCAAAAGAAACAAAAAATATTTTTCCTCGAAGAATGGTTTGACAGTCCAGATAAGCTTGACTGTACGGAATTGCCACCATAGGAAGCCATACTCAGTTAGCTGAAAATCAACAAACCTCTAGAAAACGATTTCAATTATTACCAAAATACAGTTAATTGAGGACTTGATCAACAAAAAAGCTGCGTATTCAGTCACGTCCTCCATCAGGATTCGAAAATAACTCTTATTTGCAAAGCATATGGAAACATCACAAAATGATTTCTCTTTCAAATAATTCTGGCAATGGTATAACAAAAAAGATGTCGATCCTACCCTTGAAGCCATGGAACAAGTAATGGGGCTATAACACAATATGATTATTGAAATGTTAAGACTGGGATGCACGCTTCCAATTTTTTAATTATCTGCTTAAAAAAGTCAACAAATCACAACTTCTACTCGTTCTCTGAATTTGTTAAAGTCTTGCGTGAAAAATTAAGAGGAGACAAAATCAGTGGACTAAAATTAATTTTCTTGCGAAAAACTGTTGTCAATCAAACTTATTTAAGAAACTCATCAAATGTGTGCAAGTCAGTTATATCCATTGTCAATGTGTCTCTGGAGTTGTTGCTGAGACGATGAAGCTTCTGGCTAAAGGCTCGTACGGTTATCAAATCTTAGCTGGATTCAGACACACAATAGCCAAGTACCTCGGGGGTGATAAGATACCCAAAGCGTTGTATGAGAAGTTTTTTGAGCAATTGAATGATGTGAAAAAAGTTTGTTTGAAATGGATTTGTTACAATCAACAATCGAACACAGATAACCAACTATTTTAGGATTTTTCAATATTCTTTATGCTAAACTCAGAATATTGTAGTTATTTTACAAATCTTTTCACAGGTACTGCGATTAAATCAAGTTCGAGGAAATGGAAAAGAAGACGGACTCTCTGTATCTAGTATTGGCTGAAGAGAACTTGGAGGATTGTGTGTTACTTGAGAAGAAAGCTCAATGGATACAAACTCGTCAAAATGACTGCAGAGATGACTTTACTGTCGATGCAATGGAAAGTTTCTTCCCACATACATGCTATCTATCCAAAGAAGAATTTTCTGTACTCAAATGACGTTTTGCCGCTTTGATAATAGGAGTGACAAATTGAAATTTAAAAGCAAAGGGCTTAACGAAAGAACTCTCGAAGATGCAGGAGATGGCCCAAAGTCGAACTGCAGTCGGGTTCTTGATGGATGCTGTAAATTTGAAGTCGATAGACCGTGGATTCAAAACCACCATTCACTTAGTTGGGACATATGAACAAACTAAAAAAGAACTCCGTTTTTTCTACCCGAAAAGGAAAGTACTTAATGCTGAAATTCGTACCAAATTAATGAGCTTGTAAATTTACCATGTTTTGTAGTAAGATTCCATATGATGCAGTGACTTATAAACTAATTCATTTTTCTACCGTAAAAACAGTAATTTGATTTTTGGGAAAATCTTCTTTCTTTGAAGACTCAATTAGGTTTTAGCATAGTTTCAGATAGTTTAAGTATGAATTCAAATGGTTAGAACACAAGTTAAAAACTTATCTTAAGATTCAGACTCATAAACATTGGTGCAAAGGATCTTAAAACATAGTATCGGGCGCCAAATTTTTTTTTGAAAATTACCATCTTACCATCTGAAGCCTCGTGTCTTAATACATAGAAAAACCTATAACCTATCTTAAAACATTGAATGTCTATTAGTTTTACATAGAGAAAACTATCCACTATCCTAATACTTGGAAGTTTTGGGTGCCGAAAAAGTTTTTGTAAACTTACCATCTTTCCATCTCAAACCTCATATCTTAACACATGGTAAAAATTTAAACTTGTTTTAATACATGGGAAATCTATTCCCTATCTTAAAACACAGCTGGCGACACCGGAAACATATATATATCTTAATAAATGAGGGACCACTACACGCCCCTATTTGAACGGTTAGAATGTCCGTGATTAAAACAAAACACACGGACCATGTTTCCATCTCGTCTTGAATTTCGGGTTGTTTACTCAAAAATTAGTAGCAGATGTTGAGGCTCCTCGGGAAAAGGGGGGTGGGTTCATTGAAAAATCTATGGTTTAAGATACGTTATAAATTTACGACCCGCAGTACTATCTAAAAATCTTGAATACGGAGATTACAATATACTAAGAATAGGACTGTTTTACTTTTTGAACTATGGTTAGAGAAAAGTAAAAAAATTTTTTTTTGCTTTCATGGTATGTTTGGATATATGTTTGGTCTCTCATGGTTTTTGTTTGATCTACTATCTTCAAATCGAATCTACTTTGAAAAAATTGCAGTCAAGGAATGAGCTTTAGTTTGAAAATTAAGTCAATTCAACGATCATTTACTCAATTAAAGCAAAAATAGCACCAAACATCTTTCTCTGCTAAAAGCAAACACAGAAAAAAACATCTGAACTTAACTTCTGTGTAATATGTTTAAGCCCTCTGTTTATAATTTTGAAGTAAAATTTCAGTCGAGCAACAAATATATTTTTACTTTGAAATGCTTACAGTGTTCACACAAAGACTTATTCAGATTTGATCTTTCCCGTTTTCCTAATTGTTTGCATTTTTAATTTTTCTATAGGCTTTTTGGAAGTTCTGAATTGAATTTAACTCTATTTATAATACCTTGTTCGCAAACTGTTAACACGTTGTTGTTTATACAAACTTTATATGATTCGCAGCGTAAAACTTCGACGTCTGACCGCTTGTACTTTTTTTTGAAAACCTCATTAGGTTTTTTACTTTTATTATAATCTATCAGAAGCTGCTATAACCAAAAAAGCCAATATCGTTCAACTTTGCTTGCTACGTTTGCTCGAAAGTGAATTATGAAAATACTCACAGTCATTTCTGAAGTTCGCTCTTGTTTTGTATTCATTATCTTCAATCTTGGACAACTCAGCAAGTTGTTTTATCCTCAAACTTTCTTCAAGCGCTGCTTGCTTTTCAGTAAACTCTTTTTCAAGAGCTCTTTGTTTCTGCTGAAGTTCCGTCTCCAATTTAAATTTATCCTGAGCCAAACTTTGCAATTGATTCGAAAATTTTGACTCTAGTTCGTGTTTTTCACGTTCATATTTTTGCTTTGCATCTTTCTGTTCTTTTTCCAACTGTTCGACTTTTTTCTGTAAAAGTTTTGAGTTGCCTTGATCGCTGAGCAGTTTTTCTTGCTCTTCTTGTTTCCTTCTGATCTCTTCGAGAATCTTTTCAAAAACTTCTTGTTTTTTTGCAACTTCTTCGTCTTTTTCAGTTTTTAAAGTATTTTGTTTTTGCTGATTTTGTTGAATTTGCAGATCTAGCTTCCAGCTTAGATCATTTACTTTGTTATCAAAAGTTCGTTCCATATCTTTCTTGTCACTTCTCAGCTTCGCCAGTTCCTCTGCGTGGCGTTTTTCCATCGCTTGTCGAGCAGACTCTTGTTCTGACCTGTAGATGTCAAATCGAGCCTCGAGCTCTTTTGTACTGAAACGGAACACGCATAAGAGTCAACGAGAAAGGAATATGAACTTTCAATCTACTGATATAAAGGTTTATTGAATTTTGAAGCTTGAACAACTGACTCATAACTTTTTCTAACTGGTTGCCCTAAATCAATTGTCATAACTGGTGAATCAACAAACGTTTGACATAACAATTTGTATTGACAATGAAAAAAATGATATTTAGTTTTCTTTAAAAAAACCAATTAGTGAAACAAAAAAAAGTATTATTTTTTTCTCGTTTCGTGTACATTTGTACATATTTGACTTTGCTGTTAAAAATAGTGGCCAAAAACGTTCAATTGATCCCGTAGTTTCAAAACTAACTGGAGAAAAAACTGGTGCTGCCATCAGAAAATGGTATTCTTGTTATGAAAAATTAAATTTTTGATTTCCTAGTTACAAATCATCACAGATTTTTTTTACATTTCAATAATATATATTACAGTCTTCTAATAAAGTTTGAATTGTGTTGTATGTGTAATCAATTTTGAAATGTCTTGTTTCTCCTGGGGCTTTAAAAAATTACACTTCAAGAAACCCAAAAACAAAGTTTTCCCAAAAAACACAAAAGTTAGTCAAAGAGCAATTGATTCATAGAAAAAACACGTTTCAAAGAAACCATCAAGCTAAAATTGATCAAACAGGCTTGGCCAAATTTTTTTCTTTTTCCGGAAAAACATTGGATAAATCCAAAAAATTACACTTCAAGAAAATGTTCGTAACTCGGAGAAAGACAAAAAATTGAATGAACTGTTTGTAACTCTGGTGAGAACTACTTACCTTCTTTCATGCATTATTCGCTGTGCTTCCATTTGTTCCTGGTTTTGCGACAACTCCGATTCCTTCTTCTTCAGTTCTGCACCTTTCCTATCTGCTTCGTCTTTTCTGAAACAAGATGTTACATGAAAATGTCATAGAGACGTTTTTGATAAAAACACAATGTATCATCGTAGTTTTTTGAATTTTTTTGCAGAAAACAAAAAAAGGAACTCAAAAACTCAAAAGATAGTCAAAAAGCAAATCATTCATAAAAAAAACACGTTTCAAAGCACCCATCAAGCTAAAAATGATAAGGGAGACTAGGCTAAAATATTTTCTTTTTCCGGACAAACATTGGAGAAAAACCAAAAGGCGGAAAGGAATTGGCATTTAAGTTTGCTCAATAGTTCCTCCCCGCAACAATGTTTCTAAAAATAAATTTAACTATCTGGCGTTTTTATGTTCTTGTCGTATTGTCGTAATAACAATCATTTTTATTCGACTTTTAAGGTAGGCATCTTCAAATTTCAAAAACAATTGATTCTAATTGATCGAAACTTAACAAAAAAAAATAATTGATCGAAACTTAACAAAAAAATTCTTCTAACAAAAAAACTCCTTATAATTGATGATAATCGAATGAAGCAGATCATTTTATTTCTCCAAAAATTTTTCAAAACCAGTGCAGTATCTTGAAAACTTGACACTGCCAGTTTAACGTTTACACTTTTCTTATGCGTACCTTTTGTTCTTTTACTGACCCTTCTCAATCGTCCTTTTTTTTATACTGTTTTTTCTCCCTCCAGGATGCTATATCCCGAGTTTACCCCCACCTCCCCTCGCGTTAACACCACCTTCCATTCTTCTCCTTGTTTACAAGTTCCCTCGCTCGCGCTGCTACCCCCCTCACCGATATTTACGGGGGGGGGTTGTAGTAAATGCGTGGGTAGTGAGTAATTTCACTGACGATTCCTAATTCTTTGTTGGCCGCAATGCTTGCTGTTTCCTCGAAATTTTTATCTTCGATAACTTTTGGATTTTCAAAGAGAAGATGTTTGTCAAATTTTCATAAGTATCTCTCGGATGTTTCGTAGATCTTTCAAGAGTTGAAAAAATAAGCAAAGATTGATGTGCCTAAACTTTCAATCAAAACAAAAGGTCATGGTTTCAGTGACTCATGTTTTCAAATAGTTATTCTCGTGATTCTATGGGGACAGAAACTGTCTTTTTGCAATTATATGCCGACAGAAAATTGATGAAGTTTCAAAGCGATGTTGTCAATGTGAATATAATTACCCGCATTCAGTTTCAAACGTTAATAATTGAATATATTACAATTTACTACTAATAAAATCAAAATACTTGTAAAATTTGAAAAAAAAATGTTTTTAATCAATCAATAATCGTTAATATTCTTTTAAAATTCAAATTATAATCAAAAATAAACTATTTTAATCGATGATGTCCTTCTATTTTTGATAGAATTCTAATCAATTATAATTAGTTTATAATTCATTATTTCTGTTCCATGAGTTTTGCACAACAATCCATTATAATCGATTATAATGGGTAACAATCACCTATGTTTTTAAAAGTTTTCAAATAATTTTAAACTAATATATTTTTTTAATTCTTCCCCATTAGACTTGTTTCATGATGAAGTTTTAGGCTTTTTTAACCACCAAAACATCAGCAAAAAGATTTACTTTCATGATTGATTCGGAAACCAACTAAAATGAAAGGTTTTCTGTGAAACTTCTGTTTCGTGGTACAATTTCGTCTTCAGAAGTAGCAAATTGTGACAGGAGATCTCTTTTTTAGGGTTTTTATAGATAAAAATTATTAACCCATAAGGTATAATTCAAATGTTGTTTTGGTGTGACATCCTGCACCAAAGTTTCACGGGTAATAAATTGATTATAACTGTATTTCATTGACTAAAATGTTGTCTATGTAATCGATTATCATGGCAATTATAGACAACCTAATCTATTTTTAATCGATTACAATCAATTTTTTTGGAAAAATTATAATCCATTTTTGTTTTCAATATAATGGATTGTTTTTTTGTACCCAAAATCCATGAACTTTGATTAAGTTTTGTGTATAATGGATCTAATTTTTGCAAGTTTCTGCAGAACTCGAACAAACACGTTTATCCAGGGGCGGCCAATATGTTTTAATTTTCCAAAAAGTGCCGAAAAACAGCATTTTTGACCAGTTTTTCCCGCCCCCTCCAACGTACCCCCTCTCTCTAGTTTGGGGACATCTAACTGTAGTACGGGTAAGCGTATGCGGGGGTTGGTGTGATCCATAGGTAACTTATTGTAAATTTTCATAAACTCGATTGAAAATAGGAAAAAGAGAAATTAAGCAAGAGAAAAAATCAACTAACTTATTTTAACAAAATTATCAAAGCAAATGAAAACAACATACGAAAGGAATTGAATAAATAGATTATAATCCATTATAATCGAATAAAATGGATTATTTTTCTTCTATAAAATTTTTTGAAAACAGTCGATATTGGGATTTTCGTGCGTAAAAAATATTATCATAATAACCATTTTCAATCAATTATATTCGATTATTTTGTTATTTTATAGAGACTGACAATGAAAATCCAAGATAATCGATAAAAACTTCAGTGCGGGACAAATAGACAAAATAAGAGGTAATAATCGATTGTAATTCACTTTAACGGTTTTTTGTATGAGCTGTAAACAATTGTAATCGATTATGGGAGATTATTATCTCTTGGAAAATTTCACGATAATAACCAAATAAAAACCTTTTAAACACCTAGTTTTGGTAATTTTAATCAAATATAATTGTCAAAAACCATCATTATAATCCGTTAAAATCGATTCATCACGCTTAATTTTGAATGCGGGCCGTTTTTTACTTTCCATAGAAGAAAAGGCTATCTTATCCATAAAAAAGGCAAAGATTTTGGCGAAAAATAATAAATGAACATAATTTAATCAATTTTTATCCAAGAAAGTTATGCGCGGGCATGCTTTTTTTAGTGACATCCTTTTTAACTGTAGGCAATTGCCAGGATAAAACTCCAAAGAACACAAAACACAAACTCTTTGCAATGCGCTCGGTAGGTTTTGAAATTATAACGTTTTGGCGGAAAAGCAATATTAATGTTAACTGACTTAGACGCCAACTCCCGTTGCAGTTTCATCTTCTCACTTTCAGCGTGTTTCACCTTGTCTGTCGGGAGACCGGGAGCCGCTTGCAGCATATTCCAAACTTCCTCCATGCTACTTCGAAACGCCTTCTCCGATGTCGCATCTTTCACGTCACGACAGGCGTCTAGAAACATGTATTTGAGCCCTGGACTTGCAGCCGGAAATTTTGTTTTGACAACTTCTAAGTATTCGTCTGCTATTTTTTGATCAGTTTGCTCTGAAACTCTTTCTCTTTCTTCTCTGAAAGCAGGCTTCATCGAAAGTCGAGTAAAAATTATTATCGTTTGCTTCCAAAAACACTCTCCGAACATCTCCTGGAAGTATCCTAGCATTGTTGTCAGTGATAGATCGAGACGCGGGCTCTGTCCATTAACAACCAACACGAAAACGTGTATGTAGTCACATTTTGTTTTGAGTTTGGAAATTAAATCTTGGATAACTTTGGTATCGGTATCGCGATCTGGGTCGTCAAAACCGATCGTATCGATTAGACTAATCGGACGATCGGTTCTCCCATCAAACGACACGTCAGCTAGTTGGGTACTACCAGTACATCCTTGAGCAGATGAAGACACTTTAAAAGCAGAGTTTTTGTCGTCCAAACCTGCAATGACGTTGCAGATACTACTCTTGCCACTGCCGGTCTTGCCGACAATGAGTAGCTTTCTGCGGCCATTACCGACCAGATCGTTGACCATTTGTGGCCTCCAGTCATCTGTTGTGGACATCTGGACCTTTTTTTTGGGAATAGCCCCCTTACTAGGAGAGGGTACGGCTGAAAATCACTTTTTTCCACCACGTTATTTTTTACTCCAAATTGATTAAATCTTCAATTGTTTATCTCTGTATAAAATTTGCAGAAAGAACGATTCAGATTCCACGAAGTTTGGGAAATGCAAATTATAGAACATTTCCAGAATTATGATTTTGTATTTAAAAGATAACCCGCGACTTGTTTTTCTTAAGTAAGACTGTAAGACGTCCTCAACAAAGTGGTGCTAATATTGTAATTTATCGTCATTATGGAAACTATTATCTAACCTGTTGTTTTAGATGGAGAGGGTAAATTTGCAGTGTCCGTGGTTCTGCTAGGCCTCGTTTCTTTTTTGTCAGATGGTCCGACTAAAAAAAGAGAGATATAATATCCTGTTTCACTCCAATTTATTTCTCCAAATATGCATAACTGCTGAAACAATTGAAAAAGCACATCTGAACTAAAATTATAATATTTCTATCGAGACGATTTGCAAAAACTGAACTAAATTGTTGTAGATCTTTTATTGCTTTTCGTTTTAAAAAAACATTTTGTTAATTGAGCCAAAAAACGGCGCTCAATCTATCGAACATTTTTGCATTTTATATTTTAACATCTAAAACCATTACCACGTCGTCTTAACACTATACCCTAAAAAGTTATTGGTTAATCTTGTCTCATCGAGTGTACCGACTCTGGTCGTCTCGACTTTGGTCCGATACATTCTCAGCCTACATTGACTTGGGCAAAAAAACTGGCGTTCGTCAACCCATACTGTCGATACAAATGGTTTTGTACGAATCCTTAGTTGAACACCTCAGCCCAGAGAGTTTTAGTCTAGAAAACTTAGACCTTAAATCGCAAAAATTGAGACGTAGAACGCAAAGTTTTGCCGTGGACCTTCACCCTCACCTTGAAGCCACCGCGCATCCAGATCCCGACCCAAATTGCATAGTTGCGACGAGAGTTTGAGTCTGACAAGCCCGGAAATAAAATCAGGAAGCCGTGCCGTATATCATCTGAATATATCAAAAATGCCGGCAAAAATCTGGACAAAAAATGTAAAAAACTGGAAAATTGCAAAAGTCTGGACATTAAGCCGCAAAATTCTGGTGAACGTATTTCCGGACTTTCGCGACTTTAAGATCTTAGCAATCATATGTCTAGTAAAACATTGGCGTCAAGACCTTCGCAATCATATGTCTAAAAAACATTTTCGTTACAATCAACTTGGGTCTTGATCGGGATGAGCGCGCTTTTTGATGTTTGGTCATGATTACTTTGGAATCTCGACCCTGGAAGAAAGGAGTCATAGCTGTAACTCACTCTCATCTATGACCAAGAACAAAATTGAGCTAGCCTGAATTTGAAGAGAATGGCAATGGTCCACTGCTTCTTTCTCTCAAGATTTTCTTATAAGTTTCGCTTAAAAACGCCTCATCTCCTCGAATTTCCGGAACTTCGAGATCTTCAAGCTGAACTGTGTTTTTAACTGGCATTTGACACGTTTTGACTGGGCATTTTCTGCTGGGCAAACCCAAGGTCCTATTTGCACAGCGCAGTGGGGATTTTGGTCCACATACCAAATGACCACAAGGGAGTCTGCGGGGGTCTACGAACTTCTGCATGCATTGACTGCAAAACATTTGATAGGCGGTCGAGTGGATTATCCCTCCTTCTGTACTGGGCGCGGCTCCCATAATTACGAGATTTAAGTTGTTTAAGTTGAATTGATTACAAAAAAAAAAGAAAACAAAATCAGTGTTTTAAAAAAATGGTGTTGAAAATTTTAAGACACAGGCAAATGAGTTTTTACTTAAAATTTTGAATCATAAAACGAAGTAACTCTCAGTATAAACAGTTTCTATTTACAATTTTAATACAAAATAAGAAAATAACAGGAAGTATAAATATTATAACGAAATTATTTTTTTCGATGTGTTCAGATTTCAAATCATTTGAGATTGGACTTGCACATTTTTATTCATAACCGAGTTCAAACGTTTTGCACGAGATTTTTAATTTTGTTTTGCATAGTTACAAAGTGATTATAACCAATAGCTCAAATCTAAATTTGATAAACTCTGCGCACAGTTTAAATTTTGACCATTCCAGATTGTTGTGATTTTGTTTTTTATCTGTGAGAACATTACGTTTGTAACATCGATTGATTTTTCATTTTTATCAAATAAGTCATATAAATTTGTGTTAATCTGTTTTCATTTTGTACCGGCTTTCGCTGTGGCTTTTAATTTATTCAGCTTATGAAGACATTTACTTTTTTCGATTTATCATATTTAACCAACTTACCAAAACAGTGGACAGAAAATATTTCTAATTCTTGTTTTCAGCTATCTATGAACGTATTTTCATTTTTCATTTTTGCTCAAACAACTTATGCATATGACAAAATTTACGTTTTTCAAATTCACGTTTTTCAATTTTCTTTTTCATCAGTATCTTTATAGCTGATATATCAAACGTTTTGTTAACTTTTACGCACAGTTAAAATCAAAATAAAAACTATTCGTCCTATGAATATAAAAATCAGCGCATTTAATGAAAACGGATTCTGATCGAAACCATTTATAAAAAAAACTGAGTAGTAGATCTCAATAAATGTCTATCGGATGCCTAGACTGAAAAGTTTGCAGACATTATTAGGCACGGAACAATTTTGGTGACTGATTAAATCGTGGTCACCCGGTGTTTTTGCTTTCAGTTCATTCGATGTTTTAGGTTGTATTCACTCCATATTTAAAGCTCCCACTGATTAATTTCTTTTCGTGGACTTTTTGGAGGTTTTTGGCGTGCAAATCTCATTCTCACTAAGCTTGATCAAAAAATAGAGCTTTGCCAACTTATGAAAGTCAAGAGAATCTTTGTCAGAGCTAAAATGTATTTATAAAAATTCAATTTTGGTAAAAATTTAACTGTACCACACTTTGTTTCGAATGAAGTTCACTTTATCGACAGCACGTACTAAAATTTTGGGGGCCCAGCTGACAGTTTTTAGAATGATTATAACACCCATGGGAGCCTTAGATCGAAGCTAACCATGAAGAGAAAATGAGAAGAAAACCTTCAGTTCGAAACTTCCAGTTCCTTAATAAAACGTCAGTAAAACTTCTTTTAAGGATACCAGTTTTGGTTGATTTCAGTTTTCTCTTGTTCTGTAGGGCATTTAGAACTTTTGTTAGATTTCTCAGGCCGTCACAATCTCTTGATTTTTTGTCTTGATTGACAAGCGATGAGATTCTTATCCGCCTGGTTGTTAAAAATCAGGCAACTTCTTTTCTCATGGAACTTTTTCATAGATATTCTTAATTCTTGACGTAGCTTCAAAATGCAGTTTTTCTAAGATACTTTAATTATCGTTCTGAACTATATCTATTTATTATCCAGGGTTACAGTATTTGGCAAAAAAACTTCAATACAAACATACCCGGTTTGACCTCCGTAGAGCAAAAATGCTAGCCATACAATTCCATAAACTAAGTCTATGAAAAAAACTAATCATACAATTTTCATAAATTTTGCGAAAATGGTGTCGTCGAATTTTCGAAAAATTTTTCTCTTGTTTTGGCTCTAATATTCGTTTTAATATTCGGTGTATCGTACTAAATAAAAAAAGAAAAAGTTTTTGTCAAAAAAATGCTAATCATACTGTTTCGATATATGAAAAATGCATGACTAGCATTTTTTGATGGCAATTACAAATATTTTTCAAGGTATTTTTTAAATTGGCCTCAAAATTTTTTGTGTTTTTTCAACCGCAACTTGATTTTCGTACTCAAACAAACAATTTTTGAAAAAAACAATTACTTGCAAAGTTTAAATTTATGTGTGTATAACGTAACCCTGGTTATACCAATATTGGATTTTTTTCTTTTTCTCTTCCTAATTTTTATCAAAATTAATTAAATTCCTATTGTTTTTCTTTGACTTGTTTTTGTATGCCTTGATCGATGTCTGGTAATTTAAAAAATCAAATTTTAGATCTTTGAAAATTTTTGCCATAATTTAATAGTTCGTTACTTTCGTTATATTATTTGTGAGACAGAATTAAAACCTTTCAGGCTGTTTCCAATGCATTTTTAATGCGAGACGGCCAAACCTTTGGTTACTACGTTTGAGTAACCAAGTTTTATATCATTTGTGTTGCGTTACAAACACAACAAAACTGTTCTGAGAAATTAAAATGTAAAAAATCAATGTTTTTGGTTTATGGAAAAGTGCTAGTCATACAATTTCCATATATGAAAAAATACTAATCATAGACCTTTCATGCAATTTTCTGTATTTATGGAATTGCATGAAAAGTGTACGACTAACATTTTTGCATATATGAAAGTTGTATGATTAGCATTTTTGGTCAACTCGGGTACATAAAACAACACGATGTAAAAAAAAATTAGAGATTAAAATCTTGCGGAAGATTGCTAGGCATGCAATTCCTCTGATGGTAAGTTTTCACGCATGTTTACTTAACAAATTAAATAAGTGGCTCAAAAAAATTGTAAAGTAGAGTGTTGACTAATCCGGGGCTATTATTTTGGCATCTGATTTTTTTTTCAAGAAATGGAGAAAAATTTGTTTAAAAGATTTCAAAAAACGGCTTTCGTTTTTCGTCAAAAATTTTCAAAAAAGAAACAATCTGATCAGCCGATTAGTTTTACAGTCTGAATAAACATTGATGATTCTTGCAAGGTGAACATTTGAACCAAGATTCTCCACTGACAAAATTGGTTTCACATGGTCGGAAGGGTTCGCGTTTTTTGTTCCAACTTTCGAAGAAAAAGATAAATTGAAATGATCGGGGTGGCTTTTCGATTCAAACCAAAATAGTTTTTGCTCTCTCGGGGAATCAATCGATAGATCTTCGTCTGGACAATTCACTCAGTCTAACTCGGGTGTAGTTAAACCGTAAACTATCTAATTTGACGCGTGTTGAATTTCAGCTAGTTTATGTTAAAGTTCTGCACACGATTGACATTTTTACACATGAAATTTTATATTATTTGCCCAATTTTATAGATTTGTAAACAATTGATTCAATATTAAGCCTATGCGACATCAGTTAAAGCGCAGTTGAAACATTCAAGATTTCGTCCTGAAATGAGCAGTTTTTTTCCAGTTATTATTCAAGTTTCTAGCTGCAATGAAAATAGTGTTGCCACCTGCAACGAAAGCTGCACTAAATCTTTGTCAGCTGCAATCAAAATTTATTTTAAAAATTTTGCTTGTAAGAGTGATTTAGCATGCTAAATGATGAGGCCATTTGAAACTAATTAGATACTCAACTGTATCTCTTTTCTAAGGAGCCAAAAATTACAGTTATCTTTGCTGTTTGATACTTAATTTGACCCTTGTAAATTAAAAAACTATCATTAGAATGACCCTGCAATTGTAAGGCCCTGTCCAACTGCGGTTAAAAGCTGCGATAACTACCAGTTGGAATAAAACGGCTCTGAATGACTGTCGGATGACATGAAATTTTACATCGAAAAAGTTTCTTGATTACGATGATCTTTTCTTTAGTACAAAAATATGGACAAAAAAGTTAAAAAACCAGGATAAATTTGAATCGAAGTAAAACCAATTAAAAAATTTTTTATCTACAATTATATTTCAAGTCGAATCTATTTAATCCTTATGTGTGTCATTGAAATTGTTTTCTCTGCTGTCAAAAAGCAAAGATAATTGGATTTTTTATATATGTTTGTTCATAAAGTTAAGAGCAATTCAAATCAACTGGAATCCAATTAATATGGTGAATCTTTCTTTATACAGATTGTATTCAGATTTTATAAACTCGAATAGAACCTATATAAAAAATCACGAAGACAGATTATATGAAATGATTTGATTCAATAGCTACAAAATCAAGTCAAATCTAATCTATTTTAACTGTTATTCGTGCAATTGAAAAGGTTTTTTTTCTTGTCAATCAGCAAATCTCAATGAGCTTTATCCATGTTTGTTCAAAAAGTTAAGAACAATTCACATCAAATGGAATTCAATTGAATCGAGGAAACTATTTTTTACACAGATCATAATCATTTTTTCTTGACTTTTTGAAAAACTGGAATGAAAAAATGAAATAATGAAAAACTGGAAAATAATATCGTAAAGTATGCTCTCTTGTTAACTCTGCAGGCTAATGCTTGAACTTAAATGAAACTATAAGAGCATTAGCCATCAGTTTTGTGCCACAAATATTGTTGTTACCGATAAGATTTCTATTTTTTGCTGATTCAATTTTAAAAAAATTCTGAAATTGTTGATTTTGAAATGAGCTTTACAAAATTCACGCCTACACTTACTTCTCAATACCCCGACAAAAACTCAAAAAGGTCATGCTGAAGCCAATTGTTTGCAGAGAACCTTTATGCTCAGTTGACTATGGATCAAGATAACACTGATTGAATTTTTTTGAATGAAAATTTTTATATAATTTATTAGCGAAAAAACAATACAGCTCCCGCATCCAGTTTCAAGCGTGAAAAATCGATTATAATACGATTTTAGTACCAGTCTTGCTAAAGTTGAGAAACATTTGATTTTAATCAATTAATAATCCATTACAATATCTCTTCTTAAGATCAAATTATAATTTATTATAATCCATTATAATCGATTATAATCGATTATTTGTTCGTCAAAATTTCGATACAATTACAATAAATTATAATTGATTAAAATCCATGATTTTCATTCAATTTTCTGATTCACCAGTTTTTCCCAAAAGTCCATTTTAATTGATTATAACTGATTTTAATCGTTTTTATTTGTCCATTTTGTCTTCGAAGTTGCATCTAAATTGCTATCACGTTATGCTTTTTGTAGACGTTGGTTCCTATGAAAAATGAAAAAAAGGTTTTTAAAGTTTTCCAATCAATTCAATTTTGTAGGGTTTTTTATATTTCTTTCCCATTAGAGTTCTTTTGTGATGCATATTATAAATTTTTTAACCAGCAAAACATCAGCAAACTGATTCAGCTTCGTGATTGATTCGGAAGATTTATTTTTCATCTACCGCGGGAATCTTTCCACTTATATGAAAGAATCTCAATAAAACTTTTGTTTCGAGTTAAGAATTTGTGTTTAGATGAATCAAAGTTTTCAAGA